TTTTTCTCTGGTGTGAGAAACTCAAAGTGTAAATGAGGACCAAAATGTATAATAATATAGTTATTGTGAAAGAGGAAGAAAATGTCCAAATGGCAAGGGGGATGAGGGAAGGGGGAGGGGAAAAGAAGGAAGAGAAAAAAATGAGAAAAGAAGGAAAAAATGGAAACAAAGCTTTTGTAAATGAGGGGAAGTAGGGTTAATGGGGGAGGGGAATGGCAAAAAAGAAAAAAGATATATCATGCACAGGTGCAAAGTCCCTATGATGAATGTGATCATTATGCATATCTAACTTGTACCAATAAACTTAATTAAATTTTTGAAAGGATAAAAAATTACACATATTAATGGGGTTCAGTGTCATTTTCCATACATTCCTATAGCATGCACTGATCAAATCCAATTTCCTTTTTTCCCACCTATACCTATCCTTTCTAATTCCTGTCTACACCAAATTACTAGTCCACGTCTAGGTGGACTATTTTTAGCTTCCATAGATGAGGAAAATCACATGTTTCTGTCTTTCTGCGTCTGGCGTATTTCACTGCTTATCTTGATTTCTAGTTCCATCATTTTCCTGCAAGTGACAGGGTTTCATTCAGGGCAGAACGATGTTCCCTTGTGCAGGTACACCACACTTCCTTCAGCCACTCATCCACTGGTGGGCACTTAGGTTGGTTCTGTAGCTTAGCTTGAAGCAATACTTATTTCCTTATACAAAGACATTTTAAAAATCTTTTCCACCATGAAAGGAATGTACTTAACAAGATTTCATTAATTGAAAATTGTGTTTTAAAAATTTCTGAGTAAAATTTTGCATGCTTATGTCTGGTAATCTGAACAACTAATTTGAAAACAATATGCAACATAACACCACTGTTGAATTCCTATCATCTTGTTTGGCGGAACTCTGTATCATTTATAATTTTTTGTTTTTATTTTTTATTCCCTTATATCTGGTAATCTGATCAGCTTTGATGAAGATAAAAATATGTAATAGAACAGCCACTGTTAATCCCTATCATTTTTCTCTGAAACCCTGTATTACTCTCATTGTTTTTGCTTTGTTTTGTTTTTGTCTGTTGTTGACATTTTGCTGTTATTTTTTTTCTTAATTCTCTTGAAAATAAAAAAAAATTCAGTTGCACACATCTTATAAAAGAACCATGGCCATGTTATAGTCACTCCCTGGCAGATGTCATAAATTAGAGCACAGTGGCTTAAAAGCTAAGTGTTTTATTAGACCTTTTATAATGCAGGACTCTCAGGTCAACTGTATTTGGATTGGGTGGTGACAAAATCAGCAAGATCCCTGGTGTGCAAATAAACTGAACATCAACATTTCTACTTTCTGTATTCAGAATTATTGATATGGATAATAAACACTGCCTGGGTATCATATAAAAAATTTCTGGGTAATACTAGAATTTTCTTAAAATTTTTCATTGGCTTTCATGAGAGCTAATCTATTCTACCGTTCTTTATAGAGCAGGTAACACATGGAGGGCTCCTGTCTTCAACATGGAGATAAACAGAGGCAACTTGTTTACTTAACCATTTATATGGCATCTCGATGGGGGGTGTTTTATTTTACCTTTCTAAATTCATCTTTAACTGGCTTCTCATAAATGTCCTCCTTTGCTCTGAAATGTTGGTGAGCTAATCTCCCCACTCCATCCTTCTACTTTCTTCCCTAGTTTGGTTTCTGAAAACTGCAAGCTTATTTGGTTTGTTGCTTTAGATATGGTTGGTTTGGGAGCTTTCCAAAGTTTTTCATTGCTCATCTCAGCTGACATTTTCCCGGATATTCCTAGGAACCTAAATTCTACCCTAATTCTGTGAAATGGTCTGTTTTCATATTTAAACTTTGGCCTGTAAAGCAAGTCTTCTTACTACAGCTGGGGGGTCTGCTACCCTGGACTGTTGCTCAAAAGCATATTTCAATTTTATTTGAAAGTTTTTTTTTTATGTGTATTTCCCCAAAGCACCTTAGCCGAAAATCAAATTTTATTTTAGAGTTTTATACAGACCAATGTCTTTTCTTACTTCCTACATACCAATAAAATTGTGTATTACAATTTAACCTCAATCTGCCTCTGTTTAAAACGTAAGGTAAGGTTAAGGGCATTCGCTGCTAGAAACTCTACCTGGACATTTCAATTTCTAGATAAAGACTTTTACAAAGAATGTTTTATTGGTCCTATAGCTCAACCTTGCCATATATACGCCAGCTTATTGTATTAATCCTGAATTGCGAAAATATCAGGATCACTTATGCACTAATGTTTGTTGTAACTTTTTAATTTTTGGAGACTGCCAGCTTAGTTGCTGTAACTCCTTTCTCTAGTGTCTCGGGGGTGGAGGACAGTCTCAGGACCACGGAAACCCAGAGCCTTTGGCACCAGTCACCTGGTATAGCCGGCTCTCTCCTGGTCTTCTGCCTGCCTTGGTATCTCCCAGGGGAAAAGGAGTGAGTGAGGCCTGCAGGAAAGGAGAGCACATCCATGGCAGGATGTGCCTTGGCAGGGATCTAATTGATCTGCCTTTGAGGTGAGAGGGGCTCTAGTAAGATGGAGAGGAATAACCTGGGTGGTCTGCTGCTGCTAAGTTGAGGACTGGGAGTCCTTGGTCTGGGTAGCCTCCATGCCTCTGCTCTTTTCTTTGGTGTTTTTCTACTAGTCCCAGGGCCCTACACCAACTTACCTACTACGTACCACCCTTTCCTCTCCTTTGATACCTACTGTACCTGAGCTTAACAGGAAGGAGGAGGAGAAATAGCTGTGCACCATCTTGCACAGACCAGCTGCTTTTAGCTGTACAATATAAAAAGTTTACTTTATTTGGACTTTTCTTTATATTCATAAAATGACACTTTGCACTCAGAAATCATATGTAATTTTCATGCCAGAAGAATTCCAAAACTTATTCTCTGCTCATACACCAATGCAATGATTATGCTGATCAGCTAAAGCACACATGAAATCCTGTCTAGACTGGTTCTCCTGCTCACATGCAGAATCTAATACACTTTATTTCCAGGCTTCATATTTAAACTTCAACCCTGTGATCAGGTGAGCTGGGGAAAGAGTGTAAGTCTCTTGGAGCTGGGGCCCAGGAACCAAAGCTATGTTTTTTCCTGCACTTTTGTGCTAAAGAAGGTGACAGACTGAATGCTGAGTCAAGGATCTTTCTTGCTTGGAAGATTTTGCCCTCATCACAACTCTGGTGTTCCGACAGAAATGTGGCAGTGTCTGTAACTATACTCAGCAAAGTAGGGAGCTCAAATTAAGCCTGGACATTACCACTGAGTTCAGAAATTTCTGCTGGCTCCTGGAGAACTGACAGAACTGAGCTGGAAGCCAGAGTGTTTCCCAAGAAAGCACTTGAGCCTCACCCATTGTTGGAGTTTAGACAGAGGCAAGTGTTATTCTGAATTCTCCTCCTTGCTGCGCATGCCGTACCTCAGACCATCCACAAGTCTTACTAACACCACCTTCTAACAGAATCCAGTAGCGATTCAGTGTCTTCACCACCACCCCTCAGCCAGCCATCACCAACTCTCAGGGGTAACTGTTAGTGGGACTTAGTTATACAACCAGCAGATAACTTCCCGCTCCTCTGCTACCAAAGTTCAGTCAGCTCACGAAACTGTTTCAGTCGCTCCAGCGCATCTATATCCTCCAGGGTTAATGTCAGCATTCTTCAGTGTGGCACTTGTATGTGTTTTGGTCTTAACTTGTGGACTAAAACTTAATGGACAGGTGCAAAAAATAAATCATCTTTTGCAACACAGAACTCATTGCTCGGCACGAGTTTCGGTGCATAGCAGAAGGAATATTACTGCTGGGCACAGTGGTGCAAGTCTGTGCTCCTGGGTATCCGAGGCTGAGGCAAGAAGAATTAAGCCTGGACTGTATAGTGACTCTACCTCAGAAAAGAAAGCAAAAATTATGATGACCTAATACAAAGGAAAGTGATGGTATTAAGGAGTAAAAAATGTTCTTTAGTAGCCTATGGGGCTCTATATGATCAACCCTGAAACTTCACAACCCTTATTTGTGCATTGCCTCCTCCTGGTTCCTTTCTCTCCATCAACATCACTGCTAACATCATGCCAAGTGCTTTCCACCTCAGTACCTTTGCTCTGGGATGCCCTCTGCCCATGGTGCTCTTCCTCCTCAGATCTGCAGAGTTCATGCTTATGCTGCTCAAATGGTGTCCCTGCCAGACAGACCACTGCTGACCATCCCATGTAAAACACTTTCTCCCCTTCTGTTTTCTCAGTCTCCGTGCCCAGTCTTGTTTCTTCATGGAACTTGGAATCATTAGACACAGGTATGTGTCTGTCTCTTTACCTCACAAGCGAAATGAGCTCTGTGAGAAATGGGGCTTTGAGGCGTCCCTTCTGTATCACCAGCACATGGGACAGGGCTTGGCATGCGACGGGCATCCATTGTTTTGTAAATAAATGAATGCGTGAATGGACGGAGGGAACCCCAATCCTTTCCTCAAGGTGGAATTGTAAAGTTTCCCATTAGAGTCATCATAAGCAAATGGGGCCTGCAAGAGTTTAACCAGGGGCTGAAAAGGATTCTTTGCTTAGGGCCTCACATAGCTGAAGTCAAGGTGTCAGCTCTTAGCGGGTGCTTTGGGGAAGAATCTACATCCAAGCCCATTTATGGTTTGGTAGAATTCAGTTTTTTGCATTTGTAGGACTGCCGTTCCCATTTTTTTCTCTCAGCTGATCACTAGGCTCTACCTTCAGCTTCAAGAGGTGAAATTCTGTACCTGCAATTCTCTTTACCTGGGCCCTCCAGCCTCATGGCATCAGCAGAGCCTCAGATACTTAAAGGCTCATTAGTTTTGGGTTAGACCCACTTGGCTAATCTTTCTGTCACCAGCTATGGTAACACAACCACAGGAGTGATATATTGTGTCTACAGGTTACACTCACATGTCACAGGTGAAGATCATTGAGTCATTCTTAGAATTCTACCTAACAGATCCACTTAAGAAGCTTCTCCATGCTTGGCTGGCAGGGGAGACACCAGGATCACCAAGGAGTTTCTTCACATCAGAAGCGACACCTGATGGGGGAACAGCGATCCCCTCTGTACCTCTGAGACCAGGAGTGGGACTGGTGAGGACTACCCTGCCCTGAGAATATCAGAGCAAAGTTGGGTGTTTTGGGGTGTGGAAGAGCACTTTATATTTGGTAGGCCAGTGACACCTGTGAGAATAGGCTTATTTATGGGGCAGTGAGAGTGACCTGTAAGGAACTACAGAAAGATCTGAGAGGTGAAGAATTTCCAAAGGACAGGCAATCCTGCAACAGGACATGGGGGGCTACAAACTAATCATATGAGTTATTGTTGTTCAGGTGACTTTGTTCATGTGCACGGGACAGTGAAGATTGAGGAAGTTTCCCCCGGCAGAACAGGTACCACTAATTAATTAGACAAGGTCCCCACGCTCTGTTGTATGGCCCTTCTATGGCCTCAACTTCTCAATTTCAAGGTGACAAATAGGGTAAGAGCTAAGCCAGAATTCAACCACAAGTGGTCAAGCTCAAACACCCATGAAGTCTGTTAAACCTCTGTCAGGGCTGGGGAGCATGTAGTACACTTACTGGGACTCAGCACACCCCCGCCCACCACTGACTGACCACACACGCTTTCCTGTTGAGACCCGCGAGCCCAGGAGTCAGCAAACTCTTCGCCATCACTCTCCAGGAAGGAGAGTTGAGACCCAGATCAGAACCCTTTCGGAGGCCTAGAGACAGTACCATCCCTCAAATCCCAGCAATCCCCAAAGTAGAAATATCTCTGCCTATTTCTTATTCTAGCCACAAAATCATGTACTGAATATGCTAAAGGAATATCTTGACTCCCTCTATTGTGTAGCAGTAGTTGAATTTGACTAGGAGAAGGGAAGTGAAAAGAACTGAAAGCTTTTATACATTTTTAGAGATATTACTTAAACATAATTCTAAGATTCTCTTCTACTATCATTCCTTTCTTTCTCTAAGCATTTCATTGATTAAAATGAATAGGAAATGAATTAAAGTGATTAAATGGCAGGCATAGAGACCCGAAGAGGACATACTGAAGTCATTTGTGCTATTTAACCTCTTAGAACCAATGGTATTAATATTAAAAGATTGGGCTCTGTTCCCACAGAGAAGCTGGGCAGCCTTAGGCGAGCTGTCAGGAAGCTCAAGCTAATGGAATTTACTGGAAGCTCTGTAATCCATTGCCAAGAGAGGCCACAGGGTCTCTTAGATAGTGCAGTGGCTCTGTCTGGAGCTGGGGAAGTAGAGAAGGGTGCCTGGAGACTTGTGTGTTCCTATGATTTGAAATGCAGTTGTTGACTTCTTTATATTGGAGTCTCTATAGTGGATCTACATGGGCTAGCCATTTCACACAAGTTATATTTATTTCCACATATTTCTCGGACAGACAGCTGAGACAAGGAGAAAAACCAAGACTCACTCTAAAAGAGAATAAACAGAGGTTATCCTTAGTTTGGCCTTTCAGAGCGCAGTGACTGGTCTGCACTTGGTCCACCATCACTTCCCATGAGCTGTGTGGAAGCCACACTGGCCTCAGAAGCTCTGTGTGGCTCTTCCTCAACGTGGTCCCCTCTTTCTCATTTCATCGTCAAGCTCACTCCAATTCTGGCCTCAGATCTCAGTTTAAAATATTATTGTGTCATTCTTTTTAATAATGTAATTGTAAGGTTCTTGGGGCAGAGATTGTTTCTTTCTCATCCCGTGCTATACTTGCAAAGACTGGCTCAGTAGCTAATGCTCAAGGAGTGATGCTTGATTGATTGAGTCAAAGAAACAGAAAACTAGGACACAACCTTGGAGTACTGGCTAAAATAACAGCATGCAGTGGGTTTGTTTTATTTTTAGTATATCTTCTCTCTTTAGTATCATTTGTCTTCCTGCAACCATCCACATATTCTGGGCTTAGCTTTCATGTAGCTGTTAGGGATCTCCTCAGTGAGGACCTGAGATGACAATAACCATGGCTGTTTTGAGCTCTAGCTCAAGAATTTTAAAGCATAAAGATGTTTCTAAATTCCAGGTGCTCAGAAAATTCTAAATTGGTACCACCATGATGGATACAAGAAATGTTGTGTTCTATAAGGAGGTTCTCCCCCAGGCTATTAAAAGAATCTCTGAAGTCAGGACACAAGGCAGATGGGTAGCTGGGAGGAAATTTTTTGAGGTTAATGGTAGTACAGAGAGAGTGGGTCAGATCACTGTTTTTGTTTTTAACAGAAATTGTAATGATTGCAAATGCCTAAGTAAGAACTTGGCTTTGTTTTTTTTGGAGACAGGGTCTCACTATTCAGTTCAGGCTGCTTTCAACTCACTATTTATCCCAGGCTGGCCTTGAACTCACAGTGATCTTCCTCAGCCTCCTGTGTGCTCAGATTATAGGCATGAGCCACAAGCCACGATGCCCTGCGGGATTTGGCATTTTTATTAATCCTATAGCAGCTATATATGTCACTAATATGTGTCTTGCAGGCAAGGATATTGCTTGGTTGGTTAGTTGTTTGGTTCTTTTCCTCCAGTCCAGCTTGACTTTCTAAATGCCTAACCTCACTGGACCTCCCTCACCTTGCCTGGTCAGAATTGGTCAGAATTGATCACACATAATTTGGTGGGCCCAGGGTGGTTGACAGATGTTTCATTTCATCCTTTGCTCTCCCCAGCAGGCAGGAGGCGCAGTTCCCAGATCTCCGTCCTGCTCAATCAGTGCCTCACACAGTCCTGTTTATGACAGGTGCATTGCATGTCAGAGTAGTCCCCTAGACTGGCCTCACTCTCATGACCAAGTGATAATGAACCAAAGAGAAAAAGTCCAATGTACCGGCACCTCTTCTTTTTTCTTTCCTCTTCTGTTTTTTCCAAATGAATTTTCCTTCCACATCTACTTTTCTCTTCTTTCTCTGTCTCTATTTCAGGTTCTGCTTCTCTCGGAGTGATTCTTTTTATCCCACTTGGCCTGTCAGTCCCTCTCTTCTCCCTTCTCTATGCCATGGGAAGGGTTCGTTGATTGTTCACTGTACAAGGACGCCGTGTGAAGAGGAGGAATGAAGGCAGAATCCAGCCTACCTTACTCTGACTGAGGCATGAATACAGGCTTGGGAATTTGTGTGCCCAGAAGAGGCACCTTTTCCTAATTTACACAAGATTGTTTTAGAGGCTAACAGCGGCCCTTTCATTGCCTAGAACATTCCCCAGAAGTAGTCATTTTCTGTTTTCTCTTGACCCCATACTTCCTTTGAGTATCACTGGAAACCTCTGTTGCCCTCTCTCCTACCAGATGACCAAAACTGTGCAGTTGGGATTGTGTTTATATCGGAAAGACATCATTAACAACAGATTGCTGCAGTATTCTGGGCAGTGGCGAACCTATGGCACGTGTGCCAAAGTGAGCTGTTCACATCACTGAAATCTCTAAAAGGTGTGCCACCCCTGTGCTGGGGCTTTGATTTCTTTTCTGGAGATCATTCTTTCATTTATTTATTTATTTTGTTTAACTTTTTTTAGTACATTTTAGATATACATACTGATCTCAGTCATCAGAGGGAGTTTGTGTCTTGGTTCTTTTTCCCCATCCCCTCTCCTCCCTTCAACCCCTCTTCCCCTCCTTATTTACAAAAGCTTTGTTTCCATTTTCTTCCTTCTATACTTTTCTTTTCTCTTCCATCCCCCCCTCCCTTGTTCCCCTTCCCATATGAATAGCCTCTTCTTATTTCCCAGTATCTAATATACATTTTGGTCCTTATTTACCCTTTCAGTTTCTCACACCAGAGAAACAACGTGTGTCCGATTTATTTCATGTAAGAGTATGGTCTCAAGGTGCATCCATTTACTTAGAAATGTCTCAAGTTATCCTCTTTTAAGCCTGAGTAGTACTCCACTGTATAAAAAAACCGCGTCTATTTTACCTATTCCTCAGTTGATGGACACTGGGTTGTTTCCAGGATTCAGCTATTACAAACTGCACTGCTGTAAACATGGATGTGTATATATCGCTGTGGTGTGATGCTTTTACTTCTTCCAGGAAGACACCCAGAAAGAGAATTGCTGGGTCAAATGGAACCTGTAATCCTAGTTTTATGAGCAATCTCCACACTGATTTCCACAGTGGTTGTACCAGTCTACACTCCCACCAACAAGGGAAAAGTGTTCCTTATTTGACACAACCCTGCCAGCATTTGTTGTTGGTTGATTTCTGGATGATAGCCATTTTTTTCTGGGGTGAGATGGAATCTCAGTGTTGTTTTAATTTGCATCTCTCTAATGACCAGTGATGTTGAACATTTTTTCACACATTTACTTGCCATTTGTATTTATTCATATAAGAAGTGTCTATTCATTTCAGATGCCCATTTTTGAATGGATATCTAAATTTAGATGGTCTTAGTTTTTTCAGTTCTTTATATGTTCTAGATATTGGTCCTTTGCCTGAAAAACCTCAGGCTATGATTTTTTCCCACTCTGTGGTTTGTCTTTTCACTCTATTGGTGGTTTCTTTTGCTGTGCAACAGCTTTTTAATAGGATGAGATCCCAGTTGTTGATTATAGTATTTCCCATGCAATTGGGGTTTTGTTCATGAAATCTTTACCTATACCTATGTCTTCAAGATTTCTACATATTCTCTCTTCCAGAAAATTTAGTGTTTCTATTTTAATATTTAGAACTTTGATCCACTTTGATTTTAGGTTAGTGCATGATGAGAGGCATGGGTCTAGTTTTAGCCTTTGGCATGTGGAAAGACAGTTTTTCCAACACCATTTGTTGAAGAAGCTGTCTTTTTTCCAGTAATTGTGCTTTACTTTTATTGGGGTTTGTTCATTCATTCATGCATTCATTCATTCATCCATTTATTCATTCAGTGACAAGGTCTTGCTATATGGTCCAGGCTGGCCTTAAACTGTGGCAGTCCTCTTGCCCCAGCCTCCTAAGTCCTGGGATTACAAATGTGAATCACCCCACCCAGGTTGTCCAGAGTCTTTTAGAAAGAGTTAATCTTTTTGTCATATTTTTTTCTTTTTTCTTTCTTTTCTTTTTTCTTTTTGTCATATTTTTTTCTAATTTTCTATAAGTATCTAAATTCTCCTAAGCTTTTGTTGATCCACTGGCAATGAAAGTGGTATTTATTTAACAGTGGTGTTTGTTTCAAAATCTCTGTCTGGAGATACTGAGGATAGGACATTTCTACAACTGCAAGCTGTTTGTTTTGGAACATTGTCCTAAAGACTGTTGAATGTGTAAGTGTGGAGGTAACTACATAAATTCTCCTCCACATGCAGGCTACCTCAGACACTCACGTGACCTCTCAGAGAAGCCATTCTAAATCCATCTCAAGGCAAGTGCTGGCCCTGACATTGAGCTGATCCAAGCTACGATGACA